CGCTGCTCCGCATTCTTCCATCGTTAATCCAGGACGTGGTCGATCCCCTCTTGTCTGGTTCTCGCCTCCGTTTTGACTTGCCAGAGCTTGTCCGGAGCTTGTCTGGATGAGTGTGTGTTCACTTCGGTCGCCTTGGGGGGAGGCTCGGCTTCCTCCGGAGCAGCTCCGGCTGCTCGGCAAGGTCGGTTGACTCCACCGTTTGCCCTCGCGGGCGCCCCCCTGTGGCATGCGTACCGTACCTACGAGGAGGTTTTCCGGAACGCTATGCAGCAGGTCAGGGTGGTGGTCCATGAGGCCTACCTCTCCTCGATACAGAGGTCAGCCCTGGAAGCGGAGGGGCATGCTGGTGACGTTTCACCGCATGTCGTGCTACTCCGTCAGTTGTCTGAAGTGCAGGCCCACCTCACGCGCGACTCTTTGCGGTCAGCTGCGTCGACGGTCTCGTTACTCGGCAGCGACACAGCAGACCTTGCTGGCCCTTCCCTTCCGTCTGGGAGCGATGCTGTTTCCCGGCGCACAGCAGGTCATACGGGAGGCTGCCGCTGCAGCTACCTCCTTCAAGGACTCTAAGGCCTTGTTGGAGCAACCGCGGGCTTCTTGCCCCCGCGCTCCCGTTCCACCTTCTTCCGCCGGGGTGCAGCCTACACCCAAGTCCGCCAGCTGGCTTCGGCCGCTTGGCAGGGGTAGGCGGAGGAACAGGTCCGCCAAGGGTAAGGTCAAAGAGCAGTCCTCTTCGACTAGCTCCCAGCCTTTTTCGCGGGCACGGGAGGTCTGCCCCGACCTCCCGTTAACCCATCAGGCTGTCGATCAAGCCATGTGTCACGCCCAGTCAGCTCCGCTACTCGGGACAACGCACGCGCTCTTACCCAACGTCCCAGTGGGAGGCCGCCTCTCTCTATTCCTGCCGGAGTGGGAGAAGGCTACACAAAACACTTGGGTGCTGTCCACCATCAGTGTAGGCCATTTACCACTGTGGAAGCGAGGTCCGCCCGACTTCACCGGCATACGCCGCACTCCGGTGCCATCATGTCAGGACATATTGCGCGACGAAGTCCAGGCTTTGCTGGACAAATCCGCAATCGAGCACATACCACCGGGAGAGGAACAGGCGGGATTTTTCTCCATGTACTTCCTTGTCCCGAAGAATGACGGCGGGTTCCGTCCCATTCTCAACATCAAGGGGTTGAACCGCATTCTCGAAGTACCATCCTTCAAGATGAAGACACTGCACTCGGTGATCTCATCTGTTCAGCCCGGCGATTGGCTCACGTCAATCGACCTCAAGGATGCGTATCTGCATGTGCCCATACATCCATCGTTCAAGCAGTACCTTCGGTTCTCTTACGACGGGATGTGTTACCAATTCACGGTGCTCCCCTTCGGCATATCCACTGCCCCAAGGGTGTTCACCAAGCTCATGTTAGTCCCGGCTACCCTCGCTCGCTCGCAAGGAAGGCGTTGTTACCCTTACCTCGACGACTGGTTGCTCGGAGCACTAACACAGCCAGCGAGCCTAGATGCTACTCACACAGTGATAGACATTCTAGTTCGACTGGGGTGGATCATCAACCTCAAGAAATCCGACCTGGTACCCACCCAGGACTTGGTTTTTCTCGGGGCGAGGTTCCAAACGCACAAGGATCTAGTTTCCTTGTCGCCCGACCGGATCACCAGAGTACGGGAGATGGTGTCTTCGTTCCTCTCCCAGCCCCAGGCACCAGCACGGACTTGGCTCCGTCTACTGGGCCATATGGCGGCGACGATCTCTGTAGTGTGGCGGGCGCGGTTGAGGATGCGCCCTATACAGCAAGCTTTGGCGAGTCTGTGGGCTCACTCGGAGGACCTGGAGCGCAGTCTCACAGTCCCCGGGTGGTTGACACCTCACCTTCAGTGGTGGACCAATGTCGGGGAATCTCACCAGGGGGGTCCCCTTGGAAATCCCGACGCCAGCTCTCACAGTTCAGACCGATGCGTCCCTCACGGGCTGGGGGGGTGTTCTGGGCAGTCTGTCGGTGTCCGGACTCTGGTCCGAAGCCGAAGCCCACCTTCACATCAACGTGTTGGAACTGAGAGCTGTGCGGTTGGTTTTCGAGCGCTTCAGAGAGCATGTCCATGGCCAGGTAGTCCGTCTTCAGTTGGACAACCAGACGGCCATGTCGTACATCCTGAAGCAAGGCGGCACGGTGTCCCGAGCGCTCCTCCAGGAGACGTGGGACTTTCTACTCTGGTGCGACCAGTGCGATTGTCAGGTACTCCTGGGGCTGGAGAACGTGCGAGCAGACGCTATCTCTCGCCGGATCCTGGCCCCGCACGAGTGGATGCTCGACAGGCAGATTTTCAGAGTTATCTCCCAGTTGTACGGGTCGTTCCAGGTGGATCTGTTTGCGTCCGGCGGGACGCATCAGACACCCGTGTTCTGCTCTCGAATACCGGACCCAGGGGCGTTGGCTGCCGACGCCTTCCTGCTGGATTGGACGGGCAAAGTGCTCTGGGCGTTCCCGCCGTTACCACTCATTCCCCGTGTCCTTTCACAGCTGTCCACCCAGCCAGCTCGGCTGCTTGTGCTACTGGCACCGCTTTGGCCGTCACAGAGCTGGTTTCCGGTAATTCTCAGGTTTCTGGCTCAGCCTCCTGTTCTATTACCTTTACGACCGGACATTCTCACTCAGAACGGAGCGCCCCACCCAAATCCACGGATTCAGTGGGTGGCTTGGCCTCTGTCAGGTCTAGCCTCGAGGCACGCGGAATTCCTGCAGCAGTTGCAGACACAATTCTGGCTTCGAGGCGGGATTCGACAAACGTTCAGTATGAGGATAGGTGGTCCCGCTATGCGCGCTGGTGTTCAGATAGGGGGATTGCAGATCCCTTTTCTGCGGATTTAGTCCGAGTATTGGAGTTTTTGCAAGCCCGTTTGGAAGAAGGCCTGGCGACTTCGACCATTCGCGGCTACTCCACCGCTATTTCCACTTTTCACACCCCTGTCGATGGTGCTCTTCTGGGGCAGCACCCTCTCGTACAGCGCTTTCTCGCTGGCACGAAACGGGTTCGACCTGCTGTCAGGCGAACCAGCCCACCTTGGGATTTGTCAATTGTGCTCGATTGGCTGTCCGGTCCAACTTTCTCACACCTATCGGCTATTTCCATTCAGTTGTTAACTTGGAAGGCTGTTTTTTTGGTGGCGGTAACGTCTGGGCGTAGGGTCGGCGATTTACATGCTATGTCGTCCGACCCGGCGCTGACTGTGTTTCACACTGTTTGTGTCAGTATTCGCCTCCCGGATACGTACCGCCCCGAAGATCGATCACGCTTTCCATGTGACAGCTCCTATCGAACTTCCCACTCTTACCCAGCCTTCCACATCGGGGTCCTCTGCAACGAGCACTCACCCGTTGGATGTCCGTAAGACCCTCAAAGTCTATATCAAACGAACGCAGGTATTCCGTACGGGTACCCAGCTGTTCTGTTGTTACGGTGGCGGGAAGGCTGGTGTGCCAGCGAGCAAGCAGACTTTGTCTCGCTGGCTAGTTTCGTGTATTTGTGCCGCTTATCAGGCTAAGGGCAAGCCTCCCCCTGAGGGGTTGAAGGCTCACTCGGTCAGGGCAGTAGCCGCCTCAAAAGCTTTTGCATCGGCACTCCCCATTGAAGAGATCTGCTCTGCCGCTATTTGGAGCCGGCCTAGCACGTTTATTCGGCATTATCAGCTCGATACGCATTCCCGTAATCGTGCGAGCTTTGGCCGTTCTGTTCTCTCCAGTGGACGTCCTGCCACCCTGACCGAGTGAGTCTTGGTTCATTGGTTTTGTTTGACGCTACTGTTCAATACTGTGTGTTATTGACATGTCCGCTACTGGGAGCTAACTACCCACATTTCGATTCTCTACGGAGTATTTAGGTCGATTGTGAGTGTTTGACATTCCCCCCTACGGTGCTCACTAATCGACACGTGGTGGGTGGGGCTTTGTTTACATTTCGCACCATGTGCGATTTACTATGCTAACATTTGGAGGTCGTCTTTGTTACGTGGTATACAATTTGTGTAACCAGCTGAGAGTCTACTCTTAGAGTGTGACGTCACCAGTTGTTGTGTATTGTATGTCCGCCATTAAACGAAGTCAAGTAAACTGTGCCGTCAGTGATCTTTTGACAACTAATACTAGATGTATTGTAGTAGGTGTCTGTAAGACACGTAACATGGTGGCAGCGTGTTCTGAACTCACTCTCTGTGTCACGTAAGCTGTGTATCAGTTGAACATTAACTTTGTACAAGTTTGTCTACGAGTTCACACGCCGTGCACTCGCGACCACGTGCTACTATCTAAATTGAAAAGGAAATGCTGGCTGTAACCTTCGGACTCGAGAAGTTTCACCACTATACCTTTGGCCGCTCAGTGAATGTTGTCACTGATCATAAACCACTAGTCGCAATTGTGAAGAAACCTCTCTCGAAAGCGCCCAACAGACTTCAATCTCTCCTACTGAGAACACAAAAGTACAACTATAGTCTTACCTACAGGCCTGGCAAGACAATACCTGTTGCTGATACCCTGTCAAGAGCACCACTGGCTGATAAGCCCACACTTGAAACCGTGTTTGTAAACAACATTGCCCACTTGTCAGTATCCGATGATCGCTTGAATGAGATCAAAGCTGCAACAGCAAAGGATAACACATTACAACATCTGAAAGCAACGATAATGCATGGATGGCCCAATGACAGACAGCAACTGAAACCGGAACTCTGAACCTTCTTCAGCTATCGCGATGAGCTCACAATACAAGATGGTATCATCCCCTGTGGATCCAGAATAGTCATACCTTTATCTCTAAGAAAGAAAATCAAGGAGAAGCTACACATTGGTCACATGGGAATTAACTCCTGTCTTCGACGCGCTCGAAACCTAGTTTTCTGGCCAATGATGTCGAGTGAAATAAGACAATACATAGAGACTTGTGATATTTGTGCTTGATTCTGCGACAAACAACATCAGGAACCCCTACATATGCATGACATCCCTGACCTGCCTTGGGACAAAGTAGGAACTGACATATTCACTCTGAAAGGCCGAAACTACCTCATTACCACAGATTACTACAACAACTTCTTTGAAGTTGATTTCCTCCCTGAAAACACCTCTGAAGCTGTGATACAGAAACTGAAACCACACTTTGCTCGTCATGGCATTCCATCCACAGTCATAAGCGATGGTGGACCCCAATATACCGGCAATAAGTTCCACAACTTTAGCAAGAAGTATGGTTTCAAACATGAAACGTCCAGCCCTGGTAACAGCAAAGCTAACGGTGCAGCAGAGGCAGCCGTTAAGATAGCCAAAAGAATGATGAAGAAATGCAATGCAGCAAATGAAGATCCATACCTAGGTCTTCTCAACATCCGAAACACCCCAACCGAAGGTCTTCAAACGAGCCCAGCACAACGTTTGATGGGACGCAGCACTAGAACACAAGTACCGAGTACCCTCGAACCATTACGACCATCAAAGTTCAACCATGAAAAAGAAGATCTTGAAGACAGAAGAATGTGCATCCTTGATAGACACGATACGTCTAATCCAGGCCAAACCCTCAAACCACTGTCAACAGGTGATACAGTCCGCATGCAGCCCATACAAAGTGGGAAGACAGAATGGTCTGAAGCTACAGTCACCGGGAAGCTGAAAAGTAGAACTTACACGGTGCAGACAAATGATGGGTACAAATACCGAAGCAATCGTCAACAACTCCGTCTCATGAAGAAGTCCCGACGTCCAGAACCTACTAACATAGAGATATCAGTCTCTGACCCTCCACAGCCTGCAGTAGCAACCCAGCAGAACAACGTTCCGAGAACTCCGTCGACAACGTCTACACCTGAAACACTCCCTAAGCAACAACTTCCTGATGCTGACCACCCGCCAGCATACCACACCAGATCCGGGAGAGCAGTGAAATCCATCCGCAGACTTGACTTATAGACTCATAAATGATTTTCAAGTTCAAGCAGTAAATTCCGTCCAAGACTTGACTTTTAACTCACTGAATACTTTTTTTTTATAGTTTTTATCTTAGATTAAATGATAAATCCCCTATGTGACACATATTGGTCTTCAGCCAAATGAACTCTAATTCTCATCCAGCCAAAGTAATGACACTTCTATTCTTTCCTTTAAAGAAAGGGGGATGTTACGTGGTATACAACTTGTGTAACCAGCTGAGAGTCACCTCCCCTACTCTTAGAGTGTGACGTCACCAGTTGTTGTGTATTGTATGTCCGCCATTAAACGAAGTCAAGTAAACTGTGCCGTCAGTGATCTTTTGACAACTAATACTACATGTATTGTAGTATGTGTCTGTAAGACACGTAACAGTCTTTGAGCACAAATCCTCCCTGTCGGTTCCCCTCCCATAATGCCTCTTGCGGACGCGAAAACTGGGACATACGACAGGTGAGTGTCATGGCGTCTGTTACATTTTTTTCCATTAACGATTGCTATTTGTGTGTGCTTGGACAGAATTCCCTCCTCCCTGGCCTCCGGTCTTTGGGAGTCTGTGTTTATGCATAATATGTACCCCAAGGACGATCTCTATGAAGAAGAATTAACCAAACCTGAAGAGGTTTTAAATTCTTCGAAGAGAGTCGTCCTTGGGGTAGGGCCTCCCGCCTCCCCGCATTTCTGTTCACTGATATATTCAGCAGAAGGAATGATGATACGGGCCTAGGGGATTACCCAGTTGGTGCGCATGCGCAACGGGAGGTAACTCCACGAGGTGGGGGCCGTATAATAAATAAAAAAGTTTATTTATTGTATAATCTTTTTATTCAAAAAACATTGATACAACTGTCACAGGACATTTTCAGCGTGGAAAATGCATAATATGTACCCCAAGGACGACTCTCTTCGAAGAATTTAAAACCTCTTCAGGTTTGGTTAAGTTTCTACCACTATTGCACACACCTGAAAAAATTGGATTCCAAGTGTATATGTTACAGTGAATATGTGTAATCAGTCATTTCGTGTAATGACTAAATGAATCAACTATATTACTTTTTATCCTCCGCAACGCGTTTCGCGGGGGTATAAAGATGGACTCTGTCCGTCTGCCCGTCCGTCTGTGTGTCCGTGCACATCTTTTCCGGAACATAACTCTAAAACCGTTCCATATTTCAACACCAAACTTGGCACATAGATGGCTCTGGTGTTCTACTGGTGCCTTTTGGTAGTTTTGGATTTTTGAACAAAATATTTTTTGCGTTTCCATGGCAACAAGTTTGACTTAGACTGACATTTGTGGTAGTGCTCTTTTCTGGAGCAGAACTCTGAAACCATGCAATGTTTCTTCACCAAACTTGGCACATAGATAGATCTGGTGGTGAAATGGTGCCTTTTGGTAGTTTTGGAATTCTGAATAAAATATTTTTGGAGTTTCCATGGCAACAAGTTTCACTTTGACTGAAATTGGTGGTAGTGCTCTTTTCCGGAGCAGAACTTTAAAACTGTTAACTGTTTCATCATGAAATTTAATATACTGAACCGCATAAACAACGCAAATTTTTCCTTATCCTGACTCATGCTTATTTGCTTGTCTTCTTCTTCTTTGCGAACATAGTGGAACACTTGTATCTCCCAAGGGCGGTGGGGTAGCCTAGTGGTTAAAGCGTTCGCTCGTCACGCCGAAGACCCGGGTTCGATTCCCCACGTGGGTACAATGTGTTAAGCCCATTTCTGGTGTCCCCCGCCGTGATATTGCTGGAATATTGCTAAAAGCGGCGTAAAACTAAACTCACTCACTCACTCACTCACTGTATCTCCCAATTGAAGTTCCCTTCAATAAAAAATCACTAATTAGTACTCACCACAAGTTATCCCTCTCCTCGCAAGCGCGGGAAACGAGGGCGCCACCTCCCGCCACGTGCCTCACTCTCTCCTTCTTCGCCCAGTGAGCAGGATGTGAGAGCGCCTGTGTCTCCCTACACACCATATCCTTTAATTATATTTAGTTTGTTACATCTTATATTCAATTATACAGGTGTAACTAGTATCCTTATTCAACATGCATTGATATTTATTCGTGTTTCTGCTGCTTTATTCACGGTCCGCCGTGTTTGCTCAGCAGATTGCGTTAATGAAAAAACTGCACTGTTTGTAAATTACGTTACTTTGCTGCCAATCCGCATTTAGTATGCCCTAGCTGTACTACTCCATGCTCTATTATTTCACGCTGCAAATTATGTATTAATTTGTCTAATTCTGCCTTTGATAAATATTTATATTCCGTCTTGAGACGGGCTGCAGATAGATATCGGAAACTATCTTCAGCCATGGCTAATCGATCAGAGTCAGATATACCCTGTCAACTGTTGGCGGACGACCCTCTACTGTCTGGTGTTCCGCCTGAGTAACCTTCGGGGGAGAAGCGTGGGACGCAGTCCGCTATATCCAAGAAGCGACCGGCATCCCAGGACATTCCATCATCACAGTCTAAGACTAGAAGAGCTTCCACGTCGTCACAACGTACGCTCCGAACCCCCTGGGCTACAGCTTTGTTGAAAGGGAAATCCACGAAAGCTACTAAAAGCTTTTCTTCTGACATTCTTCCTGTTTCAGAATTATGTTTATATGATGATGACCTTCCGATTATCATTCCAGATGTACGGCATAGGAAGCGACCAGTATCGGCTATCGTCACTTCAGCACAGAGCATGCAACCAGAGATGCCTACGCTGACGCCTGAGATTACAACTGAGGGTCCCGTCACTGTCACAGAGAGGACAGCCTCAACGTCAGCGCAGACCGTCCCAGACGACCTGGTCAACCAAATCATGATGTTGATGGAGGAAGACCGATACGGTTTACAGAGGCCTCAGAGCCGCAGGCCCCAGAGCCCAACCCATAATAAGTCATGTAGGGCCCCAGAGCCCGCTATGACTTCGTGTAGGGCCCAGAGCCCGCTATCACTTCGCGTAGGGCCCCAGAGCCCACAAACGCGCCTCCACGAAGGGCAACCCAGCCCGTATCGAAGCCTTTGCGACGGACGTCCCAGGCCACCTCCACGAAGGACCTAGATCCTCACCATTCGCAAAAGGCTTCACGGAGGAAGAGTGCTTCACCGAGCTCAGACCCTGTAGAACACAGAGGTCGGTCGCGAAGCAAGCTCATATCTAATGAGTCGGACTCAGACTCGCTACCTTCAAAGAAGGCCTTCACGAAGGTTAAGTGGCTCCAAGTCATCTTCATTCAGAAGATCTATAAGGGATTCACCGAGAGCTATTCGAAGCCACCATCGTTCGCCAAGAAAGCTCCACGAAGGTCTCCCTGTATAAGCCGATCGTCAGTCCATTCAAGACATCGCAGTACTTGTCTATCAACTGTATGCCACATGCCGTCTACAAGCCTACGCGAAGGCATTTGCACAGGCTATTTACAACGCAGAACGTCACTGTATTATTTTATCAACAGATGAAGAGCCTAATTAAGGATCTTCAGGCCGACTACCTACATCAAGGGCATCAACGACGTTTCGTAGATCTTCACAGGAATCAACATTTCCGTATATATTGCTAGGTATGCAATCCTGGACTACGATACGATTATCTACATGCATGACCATTTAGCAGATCTGCAGACAATTCAATAACGGAATTGAGCAGCAGCCTTGTTACAGCGAGTAAAACACATAATCGTCAACGATTTCCGTAGAAGAAATATGTACAAGTTCAGCTTCAATTCTACAATTATGACCCTATATTGATGTATGCAGTCTACAAGCTGACAACTTGCAAGTTTTATTGAGCCTATATATAAGGAAGTCGGCATTATCTTCAAGACTGAAGTTACTTTCACAACAGCCAGGAAAATAACCTACCCAGCATTAATATTACAGAGCGAGGTAATTCACGCTGAAAGATTCGCGCGTTTACCATTAACCCTCAAACACGTGGTCACTCGTGTAACTTCTGGAAGCTACGGACAAGACCGACGATTGATCTAATATCAACGACGGCACTAAATTATACAAGGTTCCTTTTCCTGCTACACCGGTGACATCACAGCGCGGGTACTCTACAGAATCAAAATGCCTTGTTCTGATTGGACCGCGATGGACAATGCCCTACGCAGAGGTCGATCATAGTTCACAGTTCAAGACATAGGTTGCAAGTGACAACAATATATCAGTGAACGAGCAAAGCCTCCTTACAGTCCAGCTAATCTGAACCTTCATGATTGGGCTGCCTTCATGAGGTTAGAGATCTCCCCTGTCAAGTAAGGACGAGGGCACGGCAGTCAGGCGATTTTTTACATAAAGTTCAACGATGGCAGTCACCCCTGGTTGTGCACCTACATCGTCAATGACTTCGCAGCGAGTTTACCTCGACGACGGGATACAAGTGGATCCAAATCCACGGCGTCTCAGACTACAGTTGAATTTCATCATCAAGTTACTAACACAACTAGGATGGTTAGTAAACCTACTTAAGTTGGACCTAGAACCTACGCAAGATCTGCAATTTGTAGGTATTTGATTTGTAACGGCGCAGAATCGTATAATTGTACCGGAGGACCATTGATCAAGATCCAACAGTCAATCCCACAAGCCTTACTCTCTCCGCTACCACTACGACAGTGGCAGAGCCTGTTGGGGTTACTCGCTTCAGCTCAAGACATGACAGGCAGAGACAGACTACAATTACATCCGCTACAAGTCATCATCAATTCGCATCTCGACGAATCTCTACCGTTCAATTTACCGGATCAGGTCAAACCTCATCTACTATGGTGGACCAAGAGATCGAATGTTTGCGCAGGCGTCTCGTTAATAGAGCTGGAATCGATAACACTTCTCTACGTAGATGTGTCACTACAAGGTTGGGGAGCCCATCTTGCCAACAGGACGGCATCAGGGCTATGGAGCAATCAAGAGAGCAAATTACACATAAATCTGCTAGAGATGCAAGCAGTGATAAACGCCATAATGC